CCCCAAAACCCCAAAACCCCAAAACCCCAAAACCCCAAAACCCCTAGTGTCCACACTGCTTGAAAGTTATTTAATAAGTTAATATTAGTTAGGCGAGTGATATCTGGAAGCTTCATGAAGCCTAGACTCTACTCCACTCTCTCGATAATAGCTGATGTCTGCCAAGCACGTGATTGGCTTAGTACTTGAGCTATTCTTTAGTAAGGGTATCCTTGGGGGTCTCTCTGAAGGAGAATTCCTTCAATCTCCTGATGGAATATTTTCTTTATAGTATTTAGAGTGTGATCTAGGCACTTCTCCTCTCTCTTCCTCATTCTCTTCTACTAAGTCAAGCTGGATTTCATTCAAAGAGTTTATGGCGCTAGGAACTGCTTTCGCATGACTCCTTTGACCGCCATAATTACTCTGCTCATGATTCGATCCAGAATGGTTTGGATTTGTAAGGTCAGACCCAAAAGAGTTCCTCAAGCCAAAGCTCATATGGGCAGATTCCCTTGCTTCGACTCTTTCTTTTCGATAAGATAGAGGAGGAGAAGCTATTACAAAATTCTTAATGATTCTCTTCCCGCTAGGCGGTTTTTGGTGTGCTTGCTCCCTCTCCCTAGGTGTTGACACAGCAGTTTGGATATTACTAGGGTTTCTCCCTACAGTGTTGGTAAGCATACTCCTTTCTTGACTTGTTAGACCAAACCCGATACCTGAGGATCTTCTAAAAACGAATTAATTTGATTCTCTTAAAAACACTTGTTAAAAGGGAAATTTGTGAGCTTACCTTCTGAGAGATCCCTCTCTGGCTTTTTGTTCTAATATGAAAAATCCTTCAGACTGGTCCTCATGGATAACTGGATGGTTGTGAAGCATTGGCATATCACCTCTACAAGAAATCGTTAGATTTTCCAAATTTCAGATTCAAAACGATCAGAAAAAGTAGATAAATCTTATTTTAAATTTCTCAAGAAAAGTTCCAAATTTGGCAGCTAATTTCAAAAGTAAAAAGCTTCATTATTCAGTTGGAATACTAGGTGAATTTCTTATTGAAACATTTCAAATCCATGCACACTTAAAACCCCTGGAAGTATTCTTAACCAGTCCCAGTCTTAAGGGTCTGGGCACTCTAGGCCTAAGGCAGTGTGGAATAGAAGTTTTAACACAGGAAATTAAATAGCAATGCCTTATAATACTGAGATTTTCTCGAATATACCTTCATCTTGGTGAACAGAATCTTCAAACCACTACTTCTTTACTGAAATAGGACAAGATTTAGCCTAAGTTTTGTCATGAATTTGGAAGAACATTTTTGAGGAAAAATAAACTTCACCTATTGATGCTTAAAAATTGCAGGTAAAATTATCTTAAGTTTCAAAAGTCCTTTTTTGGGCGATATACGCAAATGAAGGTCACCAAATGTAGCATAGAACCATGATTGACCAGTTCTCAAAGCAGTTTCTTACTTCTTAATTCCTTGGTTTGCTTCCTCATGAAGCCCGAAAGACTGTTGGGGAGGGAGGCTAACATATGGATTGAAAGTGGACCCTACACCAGGATCAGTATGTAAATTCCAGAGAGGTTCACTTACCATTAAATCCGATTATTTCATCCTCAGCGCTAATCCTCGAATTGAACAGTTGTAGGACCTTCCTGTGACCGCTGATTTCATTGAATAATTTGGAAATTTGAGAGTATTTTCCGAGATCAGACAGGGAAAAGTATGATCAAAGTGTTAAGACTATCTTATTTATGGAACTTATCCTCACATTTCAGGAGGATACAGGTGACCTTCCTTCGCGGCTTTCTAATTATATTCCTCTGCTTTCTTTGCAAAGGCTTTTGCTCAGGTCTATGGACCTTTTTGGTAGATGTGCAGCAACCCATTTCTAGTTTTTACTAATCTATTCAATAATTATAAGGAGAAGGGGTTTTGGGGTTTTGGGGTTTTGGGGTTTTGGGG